GAAATAATTATCCAGGTGAAGTCTGATACTCTACTGTTTTTATTTTAACTGGGTTTTATTCGCTATTTTTATTCTGTATTTTCAAGACCCTGTTATTGTGTTCTACTTTTTCCGTTTGCGCTGTTCTAGAAAAGGCTGCTTCAAGTTTCGTGTAAGCTTTTTGATGTAGGCAGTTTCGCAGCAGTATTTATTACTAGGTCTCACTTTTTGTCCTACTCCTAAGTTTTTAAGAGGCTATAAAAGATTACTCGTTCTTTTTGAGATCTATCCAGAGAGGATTGGTAAGTCAAATTGCAGTATTAGTATGGAGCTGCATATTCCTGCTTGATGTCAGCGCGTTTTAGCAGTTGTTTAATCTTCATAAATATTATTTTAAATTTTTTTTATGATAAGATTTACGTGTGATAATTTTTCTAACTGCAATGAATGGCGTTTTCACTTCCGTTTTTTCTGTTATTTACCGTCGTGCTTTTGAGCCAGTTGCAAAGTATAATTTCTAATTCTAAGTACTTTTAAAGATCGTAGGTCTATTATCGCGCAAAAGTTCTTTTGCTTGCAAGTAAGTAAATACTGTAGTTTCTTTAATTCTTGAGTACTGTTAAAGTCGAAAGCATATTTGGTACTGAAGTTGTATTTAAGAGGTTTTAACTTTTGAAGTAGAGTTGTTTGAAAGTAGCAGGTCTTTCTTTACCAGCTCGGAAACAGCTTTTGTTGGAAACCGCATCTACTTAGAAATCTCTACCGATATGCATCAGGAGTCTAGAGGAGCTAAGTAGATACTAAATAGAAAAGTTTGGACCCGGTCAAATCTCTTAGAAAGCCGAATTTGTTTAGTTAAAATGGTAGATTTATTTTGAGGCATCTTGAATAATCTTAAACAGAGTAGCCTTAGCTAAAGCTCTTTGAATTTCTTCGCCAAGGCGGTTTTTTAACTGCAACACAGGTAATTTATCTTTTTAAGGATCAGGTCCCTCCTGGACCAAGCTCTGTGTCTGCGCGCAGGTTGCAGGCTGAAGCAGACCAGTTCCATTGTCATTCTAGTACTAATGATAGCAGTTCTTATGAAACCCAGAACGACCAGAATCGTCAGGAGCTCAATGAACAGGGTTTCACTTAGACTTGTTTACGATTAGTAGAAGCACTGAAAATTTCAACTCTTTTTTACTGCTGAAATGTTGTAAAGTCAAGTAATTTATCGATAGTGGCTTTTGAGAGATAATTAAAAAAATTTGTACGGTCTAGATATGTCGTTGGATAGCATTATTCGACTTAACCACCAGCAGAGTCCGCCCAAAGATCCAGCTTCATCTCCTTTAGCTAGCACGCTCCTTAAGCAGCGGCACTCAGCAACCGGAGGATCGCAGTTTATAGTTGAAGATGTGGGCCAGGAGAGAGCTTCAAGCGGCGTGGTAAGTTCTTTTTAATTGGTAGATATATGTTGCATGGACCAGTTGTTTGTTTTGCTTCTTTTTGGCTTTTTTACGGCTGAGTCGTCCTTGCTGTTACAAATATCACTAGTCCCATTCAGTTCTTTAATTTGTTGGCAATTCAGACTCGCGAGATGGAAGCAAAGAAAGAGGCCTTGCTCGCACGCACTTTGCGTCGCCGTGAACAGCTCGAGCAAAGAGTTGGCGAACTCGAAGCTAGGAACGCTGGAAGGAGGCAGGCGGAGTTGGAAAAGCAAGAAGCTGCGGAGCAGAGGAAAAAGGAGCGGGAATTGAACAGGTGATTTGTGTTGTTGTGTGAAAGTTTGGCAGATCATTGAGGTTTACGAGTTCAAATATAGATCATACTTATTATTCCTTACGGTGTTTTGTAGCAAAAAAAGAGCATGTTGTTATTTTAATATTTCTTTATCGTATTTATTTACTTTAGACAGAGAGCACTTGAGGCGTATAAAAAGAAAAAAATGGACCGAGAATTAGAAATGAATGGGTCTCAGAATGGCCGCGGTCACAGTCAACCTCCAACATCTCGTCCAAAAACTGTGGTAATCTGTTATTTTATTTTATGACGTTGAGTACGAACCAGTTTCACTTTTAATCATTTGAATATAGCCGTTGTTGTTGAAGTTTCACTACCTGTGGAAAAGATATTTTAAAATAATGTTTTTGCGATTTTATTTTTTCACCTGACTGCTGTACATTCGTTACAAGAATTCAGCCTATGTTTGACATTGCTGCGAGTTACTGGTAAGCCACCTATGTTTAGGTCGATATGTCAAAATCACGTACTTTGCAACGGCCGAGTAGAACTCAGAGTAGTGTTGGGGAGGGGAACGGATCGTCTTCTGCAAGGAGTACCATCTCGAGCATTGGAGAGCCATGTTTGTGTTGTTCCTGTTTCTTCTAATTTTTTGAAACCGTAAGTTTGGTCTAATAAAAGGTCGATTTTTGTTTTTCAGCTTTGAAACTTTTTTCGAAGTATGTTCCTAAGTCGAATAGAACAATCATTATTAATGCGCTTCATTACTCCGTCTTTCCTGGTGCCGTTTGGGACAAGCAGCGAAACGAGGTAATTTCTGTTTTTATTTGTGTCTGTGGCTGATTCTTCTCCATTAGGTTTATTTTAATTTAAACAACATTTTCAACGCCACTGAAGCAGTTTATAAAAAACTGAAGTGTTAGTTATTTGACATTTTTTGTCTTTTATTCGTTAGTCAATAAATCATCTGCAAAAAAATTTTTCGAAATTGATTTCAGGTGTTAAGCGAACTTGCAAAAAATGATAGTAAGCACCTTCTACTTTTATTCAAAGATCAAAAGTGCCGTTATATGGGGGCCTACAGTTGGGACCAACAGTCTGATACTGCACATCGTATACATGGCAAAGGACCAGTTATCTGCCACGAGTCGATGATGTTCCTAATGTTTAAGTAAGTTCCCATAAATTATTTTATATTCTTTAGTTTTCTGAGATTTTATTAACAAATTTTACTTTCAGGTACGACTCTGGTGCGAAGAGTTTCTCCCAAATACCAACGAAGCACCTTTCTGCTACTATCGACGGGTTTACTTTAAAAGATCAGTATACACAGTCTGCGAAAATACCGCATAGTAATTCAAGTTATTCGGGATTTCGTTAGACTTCTTCATGTTTTTCACTACGTTTCGCTCTCCATCATTTTTTAGTTTTAGTTTTTATTTTTGTAGTTATACGCTTCTGCAGTTTTGTTTTACATTTTTATATTTTTGGCCCAGAAGTACGTCATTGATAAGTTGACAGAAAGAAGATAGTCTATAATACCGATGGTGCATTTGATTTTTTCTTTTTTTTTTTTGCGCCTGTTACTCATCTTTGTCTCTTTTTTGTGCTTTGATGGTGTCATTTTTTTGCATGTTGCATTGTATGATAACTTAATTTTGTTTTAGATATTATTGTACTCTAACTTTTTTGAGTGGTGAACTTGTTCGAGGTTTTAAAAATTTTGCCTGATACTTATTACTTTTTGTTAGTACCTTCCTTAGTTGAGTATGGCCAATCTTTCCAAGAATGGTTTTTTATCGTTGGTTTGCTAGAGGTGCTATACTTCTCAAGTTAGGTGGCTAAAAAGGTGGGATGAGAACTTTAGATGGCGTCAGGTAATTAAGGAACGATTTCTATTTTTGTTTTTTAATTAATGCTGGTTGTACGATGTTTGGTGCAGTTTCACATTTTTCGTTTTTCTTCTAATTTTTTTTCCTGCAGTTGACTGCGTTAGGATCTGCATTGCATAATTTTGCTGAATATGCCAATTGATTATATTATTCACATGAAAATTGAGGACGAATCTATTGATGTAATAAACAATCAAGTTGCAGTTTGCAATTGTTACATTGTATCTCAAAGTTGTTGGTAAATTTAATTCTTTCTTTTATCTTCGTTGTAGTGGTCCAGCGTTTCTTTGTGGTGTTTATTCCAAAAAAAGTCATTTTAATTAATTTTCAGTTTCGATGCTATAGCAAGATTGCAGTTTTTCAGTGGTGACTCTCAGCTCAGCAACTTTTGTAGCTTATATTTTTGCTTATTTTCATTTTACACTTTATAATATAATTAGTATAATTTGGTTGAAAATAAGTGCGGTTCTGTGTAGTTTCTTCATTTTTTTTTGCTTTTTATTTTGTAGCGTTAGTTGTAGACAGGATGTTTGTGAACTCAAGGCTGGAATTCTTTTATTGGGGCGTCGAGATGCCTGTATGTTCAGTGGTGTTTTTATTTTGTCACTCTAGCTTTACATTTTGTCTAAAATTGTTAATATTGCGGGCTTATTATATGCTTCTTCCGTAAAATGGCGCTAATTATTTCTTATATGTAAACGAAATACAATGATTCTTTGATGGGCATTACCTTCTAGTCATTTTTGTCAGAGCTTTAAAAATTGTTTCATTGAAAAATAACCAGTTTTTTAAGCGGGTTCTCTCGCAGTTGGTGAATTGGGAGTGAAGCCGTCTCCAACAGTTTCCGAGTTAATTATCGAGAACTACTGGTCTTTTATTTCTGTATATTAGTAGTAGTAGTTGTTGGGTGATGTCTGGCCTTTGTAGTTTGTAGATAGCCTGGGGCTTTTGGGAATACAAAAAGTATTCCGTAAACGGAGAAAGGGTACTAGTAAGTGATATTTGCATGCTTTTTTACTCAAAGTGGAAAAGATGGCCTCTGAATTGGGACGGTTCTGGCGTATTCGGGCTATTCTACAGCACAAATTTTGCTGAAGTGGTTAAAGATATGACTTCTTGCTTTGGTTACTACATCACGGAGACCCGTCATCGCTGTTCACCGACTGAGTGTTTGAAGACCAGATTTTATTGAAGTTTTGAGGATCTTATTCTACTTCTCTTCGTAGGGCGTCACAGCTTGCTCACCTGTCCTGACTTTAAAAATGTTTCGTCGTACTGCAGGAAGCTGAACACTGTAAAATCTAAAGCTCTAGTTCATTTTGGAGAAACACAATGACTTTTTTCTTCCAAATTTGTCATTAAAAATTAGCAAAAGAAGTTCAAAGAGATGGTAGATGCTGTTTGGAAGAAGTTAAAACAGTACTTTATTGAAAAACGAAAAAAAAGCCACACAAAGATAAAGCATTCTCTTTTTGTTTAAAAAGTGCAGTTTTATAAGGGTTTTCTGTTTTCCAAAAACAGGGGAAGATCTTAACGGTTTTACCGTCTGACAGATAGGGTCTATAATTATTTTAAAAACCAGTGACTACGGATCGAAATTGGTCTGCAACACCAACAACTGTTTGACGTTTACCTGACATCCAGCTCTAGTTCAGTTAATCGAGTTAAGAAAAACACCATTAGTAGCTGAAGCAATGGGCAGTGGGAACCATTTGATGGTTTGTAACCGGTCGACCAGAATCGGAGGTAAAAGTGGAATAGATAGAAATCTGAATTTACAACTTACCGAAGGTTATGCAGAAGGATGTTAAAGTGCGTGAATTGAGTGGACTAAAATGACAATGAGAAACCTGAAAAAAAGACTTAGTTTTGATGGTAGAAAAGGGGGTTGTCAACTGAGTAACCTAACTTGGGCAGTAAAGTTTTAGCAAATACACTGAACTCAATTTATTGGCTGCAAAATGATATAATTGATCTTTAGCACTTTTAAAAATTGTCTGTAGCTCAAAATTTCTTCTAGACATTGTTTTTTTTTGCTGAAAAGTGGTCCAAAACAGTAACTGCTAGAAGTAACGGACAATT